ACTATGTAGACCAAGCTGGCCTCCAGCTCACAAAGATCTGCCTGCTTCTGCATCCTGAGTGCTGGGATGAAGACTCTGGACGACTTAGCTGGAAGGTTTATTTCTATTTGGAGATTCATTTTAGTTTTAATTACATGCATGTCTGTGTGCCGGTGAGTGCAAGTTCCTATGACGGTCTGAGAGGGCATAAGACCCCCTGGAGCTGGCATTGCAGTTGTGAGCCACTCAGCTTGGGTGCTGAGAACCGTACTTGAGTCGCTGCAAGCACAGTACTCACTGTTAACTACTGGGCCAGCCCTTCAGCCCCTCTCCACTTTCTGTATTGAGTCGGGAATTACAGGCATGAGATTCACGCTCCATGCTCCACTTTCTTGTTTGGTTTGGTTTGGTTTTTATGTCTTAGGTTTTTGAAGACAGGGTTGCTCTGTGCAGCCCTGGCTGTCCTGGAACTCACTCTGTAGACCAGGCTGGCCTTGAACTCAGAGGTCTACCTGCCTCTGCCTCCCGAGTGCTGGAATCAAAGGCGTGTGCCACCACTGCCCGGCCATGCCCCGCTACTTTTTGTATTACATTTTTTATTTATTTTACATACCAACCACAGTTTCCCCTCCCTCTTCTCCTCCCATTCCCTCCCCACAGGCATGCTCCACTTTTTAAAACACTTTTTTTGTTAGCATACAAATAAATAGGTTTCACTGTGACATTTTCTATATATTCTCGTGTATCCCAGCCCAGCCTTAAACTCACTGTGGAACCCGGAATGGTCTTTAGCTCCTGATCTTCTGCCTCCGTGTTCCAAGTGTTGCGATTACAGGTTTGTGATTCCATGTTCCATTTATGAGATGCCGGGGATAGACTCAGGGCTTTGAATGTGGTCGACCAGAACTCCAGCACTGTGCTACATCCCCAGCCCGTCACTGTGGTGTCTCCATGCATATATATATCAGTATGCTTTCTTCTTCTTTGCCCTCCCCCATCGCCCTCCCTCCCTCTCTCCTTGCTGACTCCCTTCCTTCTCACCAAATAGCTTTACTTCAGATATATATGTATGTATGTATATGTATATATGTGTGTGTACACACATATATGTGTATATACATGTGTGTATATGTGTATATATACATACATGTGCATGTGTGTACATAGATAGATTCACTTCATACACATATATATGTATGTATGTATATCTTTGTCTTAGGGTTTCTATCGCTGTGAAGAGACACAATGACCACGGCAACTCTTACAAAGGAAAACATTTCACTGAGGTGGAGGGTTACAGCTCAGAGGTTTAGTCCATTATCATCATGGCAGGAAGTGTGGCGGCATGCAGGCTGGCACGGTGCTGCCTACATCTTGATAGGCAGGCAACAGGAAGTGAACTAAGGCACTGGGTGTGGCTTGGGTGTATATGAGACCTCAAAGCCCACCCCCACAGTGACACACTTCCTCCAGCAAGGCCACACCTCCTAATAGTGCCGCTCCCTATGCGCTTATGGGAGCCAATTACATTCAAACTCCCACAATCTTGTTCTCTCCTTTCAGTGTCTTTTGACCTCCCTAGCTCCCTGGCACCTGTTCGAAAAGCTGCAAATGGCCGCATGCCACCCCCAGGAGTGAGGGAGCAGAGACAGGGGTGTCCCTGAAGCTTGATGGCCAGCTCCACAGAAATGAGAAGTTACAGTTTCGGTGAGAGACCCTGTCTCAAAAATAAGATGACAAGCGATCAAGGAAGACACATGGCATTGACCTCCGGTCTCCATACACACACACACACACACACACACACACACACACACACACACACACAAATACATACAACATACACACACACAAGTACATGCAACATACACACACACACACAAATACATGCAACATACACACAGACACCAATAATAAATTAATAAATCTGCACTCTGTATATGAAGGAAAACCCAAGCTATTTTTTTCCGAATCTTGTTTTTCCTACTTAATGATCTCTTGCTCCCTTCATATTCCTACAAAGGTCATCATTTCATTTTTCTTTACAGCTGAGTAAAATCCCATTATGTATGTGAATAATATTCTCCCTCTTCCTAAGATTTGTTATTACATGTTAAACCGTACTTTGTGTGTGTCCAGGGGTGGGCTCACACCCTCTGTGCAAAGAGGACCATTGTAGGAATCTGTTCTGTCCTCCTACCACGTGGGCCCTGGAGATCAGGTTGTCAGGCTTGGAGGTAAGACCCTTTTCCATTGCACCTACCCTGGACCTCAGTTTCTCGATCCATTCATTGTGGCGGGGCACCTTGGCTGATGCTGTGTACCGTGTGTTGTGCAGCAACAGACATGGATGGGCAGGAATCCCAGGTGCGTGCTGACGCAGAGCCCTTTGGGGAGATAGAGGCCAAGGACTGGCATCGCTGGGGCACGTAGCAGTGGTAGTGCTACTTTTAGTTTTTTGAGAAACCTCCTTACCGATTCCACTAGTGGCCGCACCAGTTACCCTCCCGCCAACGGCGTGTAAGGGTTCCCCTTCGCCCCACATCCTTGGTGGTGCTTAAGTTTGTTTTCTTGACAGCCATCCTGACTGGGGTGAGATGGAATCTCAAGTTGTTTTAATTAGCATTGCCTGATAGCTAAGGGTGTTGAAAGTTTTTTTCAAATATTCATTGGCCAAACTATTTATTCCTTTGAGTGTTTTATATATATGTATATATATATATACAGTAATTGTATATATAATTATATAATAATATATTTAATATAATTATATATTTATTAACAACATATAAACATGTGACGTTATTATGTTTATTAATTATATATGATAATTATATAATATATATACGTGTGTGTGTGTGTGTGTGTGTGTGTGTGTGTGTGTGTTTCTCTGTGTTGCCCTGGCTGCCCTGGAACTCAATTTGTAGACCAGGCTGGCCTCGAACTCAGAGATCCACCTGCTCTGCTTCCCAAGTGCTGAGACTAAAGATGTGTGCCACCACCGCCCAGCTAAGATCTTCGTTTTTTCCATAAACAAGGAAACTGATGCTGAGCAAATCTCAGGCCTCCAGTGGGACTCTTCCCCACTTTCATAATGCACTTTGTCTATTGGAAACCTCTGGTTTGAAGCCCAGCTGGGATTAAAGGCGTGCACCCCCGCTGCCCAGATTAAAATTATTTAGATTTTTCTGTGGTTTGCCTGCAAGTGTGTCTGTGCATCATGAGTATGCCGTCCAGGGAGGCCGAAGATGGTGTTGAAGCCCCTGGATCTGGAGTAACTATGTGGGATTGAACAGGAGTCCTCTGGAAAAGCAAATGGTGCTTTTAACCACTGACCCCATCCCTCCAGTACTTCCTACTCTGTATATGAGCCCATTAATTGATAACATGATTTGTCTTCGGGTGATTTGGGAGATCTTTGTAATTCTAGGCATTAATCTGTCAGATGGATGCCTGGAAAAAATTTTCCTCTGATTCTCTAAGTCGTCTCTTCAGTCTGCTGGTTTCCTTTTCTGAGTTTTTGTTTGCTTTTTGAGACAGTGTCTTGCTCTGTCGCTCGGGCTGACCTTGAATTTGCTATGTAGCTGGGGGTTGGTCTCAAACTCACAAGCCTCCTGCTTCGGTCTCAGAAGTGTTGAGATTATATGTGTGTGTAGTCCCACTAGTTGGGCTAGTTGACTTTTTTGGAAACAAAGCTGTGATCCACTGTGTAGATCCTAAAGCCAACAGACGGGATGGGAGAGAACCAACAAGTCTCTGGAGTTGGTTCTCTCCCATCCCGTGGGCTCTGGGGCTTGAACTCGGGTTCTCAGGCTTGCCTTTAACCCCCTGAGCCATCTTATCAGGGCCCTCCAATTTCTCCTTTTAGTTTGGGCCATCCACATTCAGAGCAGATCTGTCCACCTCAGCTAAACCTCTACGGAAAGGTCCTCACAGACACGGCCAGGGGTGTGTCTCCCTGGTGGATTTAGATTGCAGCAGGCTGGCAATGGAGATTAACCATCACAACCAATAATAAATTACTTAGGAGAGATCTCCTTTGCCCCCGAAATAGCTGAACCTGACTGATCTCTCACTCTAGCCTAAAGACGCGCCAGAAACGTGGGCTCTGCCGGAACTGGAATTAAGTGTCACAATCAAATGTGTTCAAGAGCTGGGGCCTAGCTCAGCAGTAGAGGAGTTACCTAGAATCCACCATTAAAGAGCTGGGCTGTGGCTCTGCATCAGTACATTTACTTAGCACACCAAGGATCTAGGTTTGGCTTCCAGCAAAAAAAACTGTCAGTTCAAGGAAGCTAATTTTAGAAAGCTACAGTCTTCATCTTTTTTTTTTTTTTAATTTTTGCATGCCCTTATTCTATGTGAGTATGGGTACATGTGCTACATGTAAGTCAAAGGACTTCAGACATCAATCCTCACCTTCACTTTGAGACAGGGTTTCTTCTTGTTGGCTAGCCCACAAGCTGCAGAGGATCCCATGTGATGCCCATCTCACTACAGAAGCATGGGAAGTCGATTTGAGTGCTACAGTGCCCAGTGTGAAATGGGTCCTGGGTATCCAAACTCAAGGATTTATGATTGTTCGGCAAGTGCGTCTCCCATCGAACCATCTCCCCAGTCATCCTCCACCTTGATTCTTGTGGTTACTAGGGTTGAACCTAGGGTCCAATCCTGTGCTAGGCAACTAGGTAACACTAGTACAGTCCCCCATTGAGTTATATCCACAACTCCCTTCACCTTTAAACCTTCTCTATTCCCACACCTGGGAACCATGAGAGAGAGAGGAGCCTGATACACCCCGGCTGCAGTTAGTTCAATGGATGAGCGTCTACTCTCTAGTCTTCCCGGAGAGCACACTGTAACTACTGAGCCTCCGTGATACACTCAACAATTGGATTCATGTCAAACTGTAGTACAATGTGGGCTCTTTTCCTGGCCTAGGGACTTGTAAAGTTTCCGACCGTTCCTATTCAAGTACACACAGAATTATACAAGGAAGCAGAGGCCATGGGACGCCCGGCACCAACACAACTTGATATTTTTATTGTACAGGACAAGGAGGATTCCCTTCTTGGGCTCTCCATTTACAGTTCTCTAGGCTGAGGTAACATGCCTTTTCTTACAAGGCTCTGACAAGAGGTCCATGCCAAAACAAGAGCCATATGACTCAGTAGAAACCTCAGCCACATGGAGCCTGGATGTGTGTGCACAAAGGAGTTGGTGGATGAAAGTCAGCTTCACTTCCATTACTTGGGCGTGACCCTGAAGACCCGGATGTGGATGGCCGAGTTGTTCCGGATCCTGGTCAGTGGCTCTCGGGAGTCAGTCTCTGGTTCCAACTCATCCACCAGCTCCACGGTGGAGGTATTGGCGGCCACCTGTAGGGAGCCAAAGCTGCCCGCCTGCAGCTGCAGGGCGATGTTGATGGCGCGGTTAATGGCCAGGCCCAAGCCATGAATGTAGATCTCAGTGCATGCGTTCTGCCCCCTACTGCCTCCGTCCAGCAGCTTTTGACAGCGGGCTAGCTGGGCCTTAAAATCAGTCTTCATGTTGACATAAATGTCATTGGGCCTCCGGGGCAGGCGGTGAGGAAGTCGTTTCCGAAGGGTGTACTCCACGGGGTCCAGCTCGGCCTCGATGGCACCACGGGGCTCTCTGTTTTCCGCCATGCTTTGAGTCCTGGCATGGAGAAGGAACAAGATTCAGGGAGAATGACAAGAGAATCCTTTCTTGCCCAGCTTTCCAAGGGTGCAACCAGAAGGGGGCGCCCTCGACGACCCTCTTCCGTCCCAGGCTCTCCGTCCCCCCCACTTCCGCTTTCTCCACTCCCAGTTTTAATTCATTCGTCACGTGGTTCCCATTCCCGGCGCCTCCCCGCCTACCTCCTCCGTTCCACGGTGCCCTTCACTCGCGTGCGCCTGGCCGGCCGACCCAACCGGGCGCTGCTGCCCCAGACACCCAGAGAAAGAATGAAGACGAAGAGGCGGTCGCAACAGGGACGCCGGAGAGTGGCGCCCGCAAGGACTACGCACTGCGCACGCGCACCCGCGTTCCCAAGCCGGAACCCATCCGCTCGTAGCCTTCCCGGCCTCCGTTCTCCGGCCCACCCCCTTACCGCAGGCGCCTGCGCAAGGGCGCCTCAGTCTCGCGAGACTTCCGGACTCGCGGCGTTCTAGTCTCGAGCGCCTCGTGGGCGGGGCTGGCTGTCAGAGGTGGGACTAAGCGATAAAGGCGGGGCCAAGAGGGGCGGGGTGCGGATCTCCCCGGTTGTCGTCGCCCCCCTCAGCCCGGCGGGACTCGAGGATCCAGGCGCGGGGAGCAGTTCTCGAGCTTTGCAGGATTGGGAAAGGGGGATCGGGTCGGTGTAGGAGCTGGGATCGCCCAGGTCCGGGAGGCAAGTCTGGAATCCGCATCCATCGCTCTTCTGAGCCGCGGGATTGACAGCTGACCTCCCTCCCGGGGTCCTGGCAGCCCCGGACGCCGAGAGATCGAAGGGACCGAGTTAAGGCCGGATGACCACCTTGGGCTCCTCCCTCTGCCAGGGACCCACACTAGGTACCAAGCGTTTGCAGCTTCCCGCCACACCTCTCCACGCAGCACTCAGCCAGCTGGTACCCGCGACCTGCGAGTCGTGGCGGGCTGCCCCCTGGCGGGAGGGACAGGGACTGCAAATCCGTGGGTTCCTAGTCCAATAATAGTGGGGACCTGGCTCTCTGCCCAGATTGGTAAAGCCCTTGGACAGTTCCCTACAGAAATGAGTAAAACCTGCATTTGGGAACTCGTACTACACCCCCCAGGCCACCTACCTGGGCAGAATCTGATTTGAAGGTTGGAAAGAGAACTTTGTTCCGTGCTATATAGTCAAAGATGACCATGAACTTCTGATCCCTCTGCCTCCAACTTGGATTAGCAGGCACCATCAACTAAGCTACATCCCTAGCCTCTGGGTTTGTGTTGAAATGGAAGGTTTGACATTCTAGACATCAATTTGGGGAGGATAGGGTTTAGCTATGTAGCTCAGGCTAGCCTAGAACTCATGCTCCTCCTGAGTGCTAGCATTACAGGTGTGCACCATTGTGCCATCTTGATAAATTTATCCTAAAACTTATGAAAAGGCAAATAAAATAATTTTGCAAAGTTGTTGGACTCCTATCGTCTCAGCAGTTAAGAGCACTTGCTGATCTTCAGAGATGACTCCCAGAGGATCTGAGTTTAGTTCCCAGTATCCGTGTTGGGTGGCTCACAACCACCTATAACTCCAGCTTCAGGAGACCTGACACCTTCTTCTGGCTTGTGTAGGTGCCCAGACACTCACACACACACATACATAAAAATAAAAAAAAAACTAGGCCAGGTGGTGGTGACAAATGCCTTTAATGCCAGCTTTTGGCAAAGGCAGGAGAATTTCTGAGTCCAAGGCCAGCCTGGTCTACAGAGTGGTTCCAGGACAGCCAGGGCTACACAGAGAAACTCTGTCTCAAAAAAACAAAACAGCCGGGCGGTGGTGGCGCACGCCTTTAATCCCAGCACTCGGGAGGCAGAGCCAGGCGGATCTCTGTGAGTTCGAGGCCAGCCTGGACTACCAAGTGAGTTCCAGGAAAGGCGCAAAGCTACACAGAGAAACCCTGTCTCGAAAAACCAAAAAAAAAAAAATTAAATATGTACTTAAAAAAATCTTTATGATTATTGTGTGTATGACGATGGGGGAGCATACTATGACACTTTATGGAGTCAAGGTTCTGGGGATCAAAGCCTCACACAGCAACCACTTTACATTCTGAACCATCTTGCTGGCCCCTTAAGACTTAACTATGTAAATACAGTCATTCAGAAGAGTGTGCTGCGGGTCCTACATGCGTCTGTATCAGGTCCTCTACGTACATATTACGGCTATTGGCTTAGTGTTTTTATGGGACTCCTGACTGTAAGAGTGAGTTTGTCTCTGACCCTTACGCCTCTTGGATCTCCTGTTGGGTTGCCATGACCAACTTTGAGATAATAGTTTTTGCTTCATCTTATTATATTTTATTTTGTCATGTTTGGTTGTTACCTTTTAGAATCCTGTTCTTTTCTAATCAGAGGCAGAAAGGGAGTTGTGATATATTGTGTACCCTAATAAACTTGCTGGGGATTGGAGGACAGAGCCAGCCACTAGCTTGATATGTAGGGGAGAGTAGGTGGGAGGTTGGGAGTGGAGGGAAGGAAACTCTAAACAGGATATGTTGCATGAAAAAATAATTACTATAAAATAAAATAAATTTTAAAAAAAAGAAAGAAAAGTGTGCTGTTGGCAGATGTATATTTACAAAATCAATGAAATAGAGAACTCAGAAACACACAAGTAAAAGAAACCCTTTTGAGAAAGGGTCTCTTCTAGCCAGACTGACATCAGACTTGCTGAGAATGCTCTTGAAGTTCTGATCCTCCTGCCTCTGTCTGCCAAGTGTGGGAATTACAGGTGTGGGCCAGCACACCTGATTTATGCAGCGCTAGGGATGGAACCCAGGGCTTCGCACCTGCGACCATCTGAGTTATATCCCCAGCCATTCATTTTTTGGCAGAAATGCAAACATAGCACACTGCAAAGAGATTGTGTTTCAAATACTGCTGAAACAGGCCAGGGAAAGAAAAGAGCCTTAAGACCATAGCATGGAGCCCAGCGGTGGTGGCACATGCCTATAACCCCAGCACTCTCAAGGCAGGGGCAGGTGGATCTCTGAGTTCGAGGCCAGCCTGGTCTACAGAGTGAGTTCCAGGACAACCAGGGCTACACAGAGAAACCCTGTCTCGAGAAACAACAACAAAAGACCATAACATGGACAGTGGGTCTAAATATGAAACTGTTAACTATAAACCATTTGGAGAAAATGTAACGGAGCTCTTCAAGAGGCTAGTCGAGGGCTGGAGAGACGGCTCAATGGTTAAGAGCACTGACTGCTCTTCCAGAGGATCTGGGTTCAATTCCTAGCACCCACATGATAGTCCACAACTGCCTCTAACTCCAGTTCCAGGGGGCCCAAAACCCACAGCAAAACACTAATGCACATAATATATATATATAAATAATTCTAAGAGGGTAGTCAAAACAAGTCCAGAGATGGGTGGGTGTGGAGGACGAAGACCAACTGGTTCGTTAGAATTTCAAGCTTGGAGGGTCTATAATATAAGTAAAGCCACCTGCTTTGAAGCCTAAGGATCAGAGCTAGGTCCCTAGGGCCCATATAGTAGAAAGAGAAAAGAGAAAAAAAAATGCATTCCTACAAGTTGTCCTCTGACCTCTACACACATACACTCCCCAAACACATTCAAAATAAACAAATGTCAAAATAAAATTGAAAAACCATTAAGGCTGGGCACGATGCCTCATGCCTGCAATACCAGCACTTAGAAGCTGAGACAGGAGGATTGCCATGGGTTTGAGGCCATCTTGAGCTAAAGTGCTCCAAACTACAACATAAGACCCTGTCTCGGAAATTAAACTTTTATGAAAGACCAAAATAGTATGAAAACAGGATCTTGGGTGCAGTGCCCGGTGCTTGGTCCTGGCACTCAGGAAGTGGAGGCCAGAGACTAAGGGGTTCAATCCCATCCTCAGCTACGTAGCAAGCTTGAGGCCAGCTTGGGTATGTGAGACCCTGTCTAGAAAGAGTAGGGTTGGGGAGATGGCTGAATGGGTAAAGTGAATTCTGTCCAAGCATGATGACCTCAGTTTGATCCCCAGAACCTACTGAAAGGCAGAAGAGAACCAAGTCCACAGTTGTCCTCTGACCTCCACACGGTGATGGGGCTCGCACATGTATCTCTCCTCCATCGTATACCATACCCACATGCACACGCAATAATAATAATAAATGAATTATAAAGGGGGACAAGGTGCAGGAAGCCACATTTGCAGTTACACATTCAATAAATGATTTACATATGGACTATATACAAATATCTGGGAACTGAAGAGTTTGAATCTCTCAAGTGGCATCACGGTGCCTGTAAGCCCGGCTCTCTGAAGGATGAGGCAGCAGGGACATGTTTCAGGAAAGCAAAAACCATGTATCAATAAGTAAAGTTAGAAACAAAAACAAAACCCAGGGGCTGGAGAGATGGCTCAGCGGTTAAGAGCACTGACTGCTCTTCCTGAGGTCCTGAGTTCAATTCCCAGCAACCACATGATGGCTCACAACCGTCTGTAATGAGATCTGGTGCCCTCTTCTGGCCTGCAGAAAGAACACTGTATACATAATAAATACATCTTTAAAAAAAAAAAAAAAAAAAAAAAAAAAAAAAAAAAAAAAAAAAAAAAAAAAAAAAACAAGAGAAAGAAAGAAAGAAAAAAAACCCGAAAAACCAAAAAGACCCAGTGGGCAGTGGTGGTGGTGCACACCTTTAATCCCAGCACTCAGGAGGCAGAAGCAGCTGGATCTCTGAGTTCGAGGCCAGCCTGGTCTACAGAGTGAGTTCCAGGACAGTGAGGGCTACACAGAGAAATCCTGCCTCAAAACAAAACAAAATAAAAACAAAAAAACAAAGAAAGAAAAGAAAAAACAGCTCAATTACAAAATAAGCAGACTCACATTTCAGCAAGGGGGCATAAGGATGGTAAGCACCTCACAAGATGTTCAGTATGGTTGGCCATTAGAGAAATGCACATTAAAACCACAGTGAGGGGCGGGATGTGGCTCTACTGACAGAGTGCTTGTCTAGTGTACAGGAAACCCTGGGTTCCATCCCCAGCCAGGCATAAACCAGAAAACAGGGGGCACCTGTAATCCTAGCACTCAGGAGGTAGAAGTAGGAGGATCAGAAGTTCAAGGTCGTTCTCAGCTACACAGTAAGTTTGAGGCTCTGCTTTAAAAAAAAAGGAAAGGAAAGGAAGAAAAAAAAAAAAGGAAAATCTTGACGATATCAAAGTGCAGACGGAAGTGCAGAAAAACCAGGATCTCACTTGCTAGATTTCTGGAAATGTGAAATGGCTCAGTCATTTATTGTGTGGCTTTTCCCTCCAAATGAAAACATTCTGTCTTAGAAGGAGGCTCTTTAAGATTCAGGAAGTGATCGGGCAGTGGTGGCACACACCTTTAATCCCAGCACTTGGGAGGCAGAGCCAGGTGGATCTCTGTGAGTTCAAGGCCAGCCTGGGCTACAGAATGAGTTCCAGGAAAGGCACCAAAGCTACACAGAGAAACCCTGTCTCAAAAAAAAAAAAAAAAAAAAAAGTCTCAGGAAGTAGATAAAACATAGAAGGCTTAGAAAGTTCCCGAAACTAACAAAATTCATAAGGGGGTGGGTCTTGATAGAACTAGTTCTCAATCCTATACCCAGGACTCGATAGATGATTAGATAGATAGATAGACAGACAGACAGACAGATAGATAGATAGATCTTGGCATGTTCTCAGTAGTTTATATATATAATAGCCTGAAGTTGGAAAACCCAAGCTCCTTCCACAAGTCCCACAGGGAGCTCCAGGGATGCAGCTTTCCTGAGTCATCACCCACGTGAAGTAGACCTTCCAGTGCCATTGCTGCCTTTGGTCATCCATGCTCCTGCAAGTAACCCTAAGAAATTCACGGCTTCTCCAAGGTGGACTTTGGTGGAACTGTTTGTTTTGTGGGTGAATAGGCATCTGTGTGTATCTTCTTAGGAAAAGTTATCAAGGTATCATTCTAGAAAACACTTCTAAAGCCTGGTGGTGGTAGCACATGCCTTTGATCCCAGCACTCAGGAGGCAGAGGCAGGCGGATCTCTGTGAGTTTGAGGCCAGCCTGGTCTACAGAGTGAGTTCCAGGACAGCCAGGGCTACACAGAGAAAGCTTGTCTTGAAAAACCAAAAACAGACAAAAACAAGAACAAAACTCACTCACAAAACAATAAACACAGTTTTTAAATGAGCATTCCCTGACTCAAGCTGTGTGTTTTTCCAAGGTATTTAAAATCCTGTTTTACAAGCTAGATTTATGGTGGTGCACGCCTGAGCCCCAAAACTCAGGCGGCTGAAGCAGAAGGATTCCTGTGGACTTGAGGCCAGCCTGAGCTACATACAGAGACACCTGGTCTCAAGAAAACCAAAACCCAACCAACCAACCAACTGCCTAAACCAACCCCAGGAACTGGGGACATATCTCAGTGGTAAGAGTACTTGTTTAGTATACTTGAAACTCTGGGTTTAGTACCTACCACTGCCAAAAAGAAAACACCATGAGTGTGTGTGTGTGTGTGTGTGTGTGTGTGTGTGTGTGTGTGTGTGTGTATGTCTCACATATACCTAAACCAACCAACCATAAAACAAACATACACATGTATAAGTGTATGTGTGTGGCCAGTGGGAAGGCATCAGTACCAAGGCTGATGATCTGAGCTTGAATCCAGGGATGCCAACTCCTGCAAGTTGTCCTCTGACCTCTACATGTGTGCCATGGCAGGTTCACACACATGATGAGCACATACAAATGTTAAAAAGATTAAATATTT